GATCGTCTCAAGGTGGTTAAACCTTCTTAACGAGTTAGGCTCTGATGCCAATTGTTAGGATTTTCGGAAGCTCGAAACGATAATCGGAATGATTTGCAAAGAGGGGTCGGAACAGTTTTGTGTTTAGGGAGTAAAGAGATTGAAAGATAGAGAATTGCACAACGATTTATAGTGGTTCAAATTTGTCAATCAAAGTCTACGTCCACTACCTTAGCTCCTCACCAAGGATTTTCCAACAAATTCACTAATTTGTTCTTTCTTTTGAGGACAAAGAGATAACCTTACAACTCCCTAGTTTTTCCGGGCTAAACTAGAACCTTTCCCTAGCTTTTATACGGGCTAAGCTAGAACCTTTCCCCTTTACAAATGGATAAAAGATGTAAACAATAAAACCTCTCTAAGGTAGGTGTTACAAGAATTAAGCTCATAAGAACAAAATATTTACAAGACAAAGATGAAATAAGAATGAAAAACTCTTCTCTTGTGTTTGATTACTTGGATAGTTGTTCTCTTGCTTCTTCATGTGTCCTTAGCTTGTATTTATACCTTGGAATGTGTTTGAAGTCATATCTAGCCGTTGGGGATGTTTTGGAGCCGTTTGGGAATGATTTTTCTGTAAAAATATGCTGCCCAGAATGGGGGGAATCGGTACCCCTTCATAGGGAATCGATACCCCTTCATAATATTCAAATATTATGACCGTAGGGCTGATGAACAGTGAGGGAATCAGTACCCCCTTGGGGGGAATCGGTTCCCTCCGAGCATACTGGAATTTCTCGGAGCCAAACCATTCAGGGGGGAATCTGTACCCCCGAGGGGGAATCTGTTCCCCCTAGGCAATCTGATTTTTCTTGAAACCCTTTAAAAAGAAAATATTTTTGACTCGATTAAGGCTCGAAATACTTTGTAAAATTGTTTTAAAATAGTTTAAGTATAAAACACAATTTTACACTTTAGTAAGGATTAAAATGAACTTTGAAAGACTTGGAGTAATATTTTGATATTCGAATAATTACATCGAATATACTTAGAAAATCTTTTGCAAAATCTTAAAATTCATTTAACTTAATTTGTTATATCGAAACATCAAAATGTTTTCAACAAAGTCGAACCACTATAAATCGCTGTGCAATTCTCTATCTTTCAATCTCCTTACTCCCTAAACACAAAACTGTTGTCTTTCTTAAGACTATTCTTCCTAAAATCCTCATTTCATTTTCTCCCAAAGGCCATTTTTCTACTCTCCTAAGGACATCATCTAATTTCTTTTCTCAAGATCATTTTCTCATCTCACAAGGACGAAGTCAAAAAGTCATCAAATCAAATACATGAAATGAAATTCATCACGACATCCATGAAATATTCAAGATAATCATTCATAAATGCATCATTTTTATTGATCTTTCAGGAAATAAAAGTTCGGTGATGATCAGATGTCCTCAACATGAAGGAACAATGTCATCCACAGATTTAACATCCTGAAGTGAACGATCAGATCTTCTAAAGGCATCTAGATCTCCTCAACATACATGAGCAAACTGCCTGTCACCTTGGAGATTTTTTCTCTAAACAAAGTTTCATCTCGTTTGAGACAATTTTTCTTAAAACAAAATTAATCTCACTTGAGATTGTTAAACAAATTATCCCTAAAGGCGGCTAGACGTCCTCATCACGTAAGACCAATGTCATCCATCGACCAAATCTTCTCAACGTGTAGGAGCATCGTCATCCTCATACAATTAGACTTCCTCATCACATATGAACCGTGTTGTCACCAAATCATCTCTAGATTGACCCAACTTCCTCAACAAGAAGGAACAGTGTCATCTTCAACAAACAATTTACCTGAAAGTGACTATATCTCTTCAACATGAATGTGCAATATTGTCATTGATATCAAATTTCAAAGCCAAAGTGAGAATCATACAAAAACTCGTTGTTTATCGTCTTTTCCCTATTCTTGTTAACACAAGAAGATGCAAATAGGGGCATCTGTAAACACTCATTTTTGTCCAGGCTTTAATCATTCATTACTAATTATTGTTATCATAATCATTATATTATTATTATCATTATTATTAATAATTTATTTACATATTTTGTAGGCCCGAAACCAAGGCCCAAACAACAAAGAAATCAAAACCTAGAATACAAAAACACCCAAGCAAGAAGCCCAAGCTCAGATCTAGATTACAACAGACCCTGACCCATCCCAAAACCAACATGGCCCAATTTAACTAGGGTTTGTATTTTTCGATCCAGCCGCCTCTAATCCTAGTCGTTGGATCTGATTGAGATCCAATGGTCCACAAGCATTTAGATTAAGGTTTTTTACCCTAAAGAATTATTAGCCATCGTCGCCGATGGAATCAGAACTGTCTGACCGATGCGTGAGATACACACACTCACCCTCTAGCACCTAACCGACGCGTGAGCTTCACCGAGCACCTCCCCAGCCGCGTTAGCTACCGCCGAAAGCTCCTCAAGTTGTTGTCATCATCAACAGTGATAGAAATAAATCCAAATCAGTCCAAATGTACCAAATATAAAACCCCATTAATTTGTTTTTCAAAAATCCCAAAATGTTTAGAGAACAATCTGCTCCAATATACGGAATCATTACCCTACCGAGAACCCACTGTTATCATAAAAAATGGCCATAAAAATGAACAAAAGCAATAAAAAATGGGGGAGATTTGAAACAAAACAAAAAAAAGAAGAAAAAAACGAACAAAAAAAGAAAAAAGCAAAGAAAAAAGAAAAGAAAGAAGAGCAATATTTTACCTTAGTTCGAAACAAGTCGAAAATCCAAGGGTCACCAGAGCTTTGAGTATTCGGAAGATAAACTCTATATCTAAGGTTACGGGGTGAGTTTTAGGTTAAAATGGGTTAGGATCTGGATTTAGGAGGACTTGAGGAGTGTTTTGGGAGATTTTTACTCCCTCCGACCGCTGTGAGCGGCCGTGAAATGGCACCGGTGAATAGCCTCCTCCTCCTCCCGACGAGGGGAAGTTGAGAGAGTTTGGGAAACTTTCTCTTCCTTTTCTGGTGCTTAATTGATAAATGGCTTGGTTGAGTGAATTAAGCCTTGGTTTTGGGCTTAAATACCCAAGGTAAAACGTTGTAGTTTTACTCCATCACCGTGTTTTTTAATTTCTAAGGGTAAATAGTTGTTTAGGTCCCATTTTCTTTGTAATCTCGTGATTCGACCATCAAATGAAAGTACTATATTTCGTTTCAGGCATTTTTTCAATATTTACATTTAAGTCACCAGTTTATATATTATACTATGTTTGTTTATTTTTGAATTTGTTCCTAAGATTTATGTTTTTTTTGTTTTGGTCACTATTTGGTATGAATGCATTTAGGTATAATTATTATATGTCCTTTCATGTTTCTGGTTTAGTTTATTTTAGTCCTTAACATTATTTATGGATTATTTTCATTTTTGGTACCTATATTGTCTAATATGTTCGATTGTGGCTCTGGGTTGTTTATAATTGCTTTTCAGTCCTTCAAGTTTCTGTTAATCCTAGTATAGTCCTTTAAATTACCAAATATACTTATTTTTGTTGATTGTATTTTGGTTTGTAATATTCACTTGCTTTTATTCTAGTCTTTTATGTATGAATATATTTTACATATTATATATTTATATGTATTATATTAAGTAAATAGTATTAGCTCTATTTGTTGTAGACATTTTATTCTATGTTTCAAATTGCATTTATTTTCATCACATTTTTTATGTTACTTGAATAGTTTCAAGAACTTTATTTGTAGAATGAACGTGGAGAGCACTTATTGATCGAAGTAGTGTGATCTGATACGACATCCGAACGAAATGGGAGCTTGAAATAAATCTAGCTTATTTTACTAATGAAATCATTTTTTATTCAAATGATTCAATGTGTTTTTTTATGTAGTAATTTATTTTACGCAATTGTCGATTTTCAATTTATATTCGATTTGCATTTTTTAATCAATGAGGGAATATTCTTTTTAGGCAAGAAATAAAAAGAGATAGCATTCCCGTCAGAGGATGAGCAAATCTCGATATTTATTTTCGAATTAAAGGATTTCCTCTAATAAATAATTTGAAGCAAATTAATTAAACTTTAATAAATGAATCATATTCTAATTTTATATTTGATTTATAATTTCCAAAATTTGCGACAATATATAAGAGACTAAGTACTAATTTTGGGCGCTTTGGGGTGTTAATCCTTCCCCACGCGTAATTGATTTCTGAATCTCTAAAAATAAATTTTTAGATAACGCAAATCAATTTTTGTCTTAAAAAATAATTTTTCTTAAAATTGTTTTAAAAGACGTTTTTATGTATTCGATCTACCTAACTCAAAGGTCAAGGGCGACTCCTATTCAATTTAATTTAATTTAAATTAATACATAATCGCTAGTTTTTCAAAATCAGTCATAATTATTTTTAAATTTAATTATTTTAAAAAAAAATGGTTATGACAGTGGTTAAAAGTTGAGTTGATATATCATCTTTTAAAAAAAATTTACCAATAATTATTTAACTGTTGTCCTTTTTACTTTAATCATTGATTAATTTATTAATTAGATTACTTAATTATTTAATTTTTGTTAATTAAATTACTAACTAACAAAATTGATATAATTATATATTCAATATTTATTATTTATACATTTTATCCATTTAATTTTAATTTTAACTGATTTAAAAATTAATTCTCTAATCAAAAAGTAATATATGTCAACACATTGTTGTGAAATGTGTCGGTAGTTCACAAAATGATGTAAGTTTCTTTCGAACTGATGAATTGTTGATTAAAAAATAAATGAAATTCTTTAAACAAAAGTTAGTGGTTTGAATATAAATAGTGTAAATTCTTTAATACTCGATTTGAATTATTAGATTAATAAATTAGATATTATTGATTAATTAAAATAAATAAATGAGATCTATAAATGGGTCTAACCGAATTGCGAAATGGGTCTAGTCGAAGGGACGGGGAGAAAGAGAAGAAAACTTGTAGCAGTTGACAAGGGAAGATGGGCGAGACGAGACCAGTACCAAGGAGAGAGAGTCCATGGGGAATGCCAGAAGGAGAGCATCGACAACCCAAGGCTCACCGTTGCAACGATCGAGCTGAAGATGTTATCCAAGTACTTTTTCTCTCTTTTCCTTTCACTTTTTAAAACGAATATTCGGTAGCTCTTACTTTCAGATCTGGGGAAAATGGGATTTCTTTTTTCTTATTTCATCTGTACACTGTTTTGGAACCATAGAAAGCAACTAGCGAGTTTTGACTTCTGAGGATACAGCTCTGATCTAATTTAAGGGAGGGAAATGAGATTTTTCATCCACTTATTTCTCAATGAAATTGGGTTTTAGTGAAATTAGATAATATCATCAATTTTGATATGACTTATTACTTTCCATGTATCCATGACATTATATAAATATATTGGTTCAGCTCCTGCAAAACTTCCCCACAAGAACAGATTAGTTTTCTTGGATGTTGCTGGGTGAAGGTGTTTTGGGGTCTTTTTTGTTAAACTATTGACTACGGATTTGGGGAAGGATCTTGGCATGGTCCTTGTCTAAATAACATTCTCTCCTTGATGTTCATGTTTTGAGCACTGACTGTATCAATGTTCTTGTATAACTTTGTTGTTTGGTGCAGGCTTGTTTTGAAGGGAACCCATTTAAGACTGTCCCGGGACCTTTTAAGCTCTTTTGGCGGTGCATGCGCTCTAAACCTGGGTGGGTTTCATTAAATATTTATAGCATAATGAATTTCCACATAGGTATACGATGAGTGATTAAATTCCTAGGTTAGCTTTTCTTTTCCTAGATCTATATTGCTTTCACTCTTTATTTTTCGTAAGTGTCGGTGTGACAAAACAGAATGTGATAAGATGGGATAGAATGATGCAGTAGAAATAAAGACACGGGAACAAGTTACCTGTGCTCTTAACGGTCAAAGTGAACTCTTTCATTCTGACATTCTGAATTCTTTAATTCGGATTGAATCAAAATTCAAAATGAATCAAATCTCCTCAAGTAGGATTCAAACTTACGACAAGTCAGTTAACAGCCAACCGCTCTACCGCTGAGCTAGTGAGGAACAACGGGAGATTAGTCTGAGTAGCATAGTTGTAGATACAAGTAATGTAACTGAGTAAAAATTCTCTTAAGTTACAATTTTGTACTAAACTCTGCATGTTGAAAACGGGGCCCTGTTTAGTCACACCTTGCAAGCTCATTTATTTGCCCCTATATAGTTACTCCACAGTTATATTTGAAGGAATGTAGTTCTTCCTTTTTGAAAATTCGTGCTTGGTTGCTGTGCAGGGAGGAACCGACCGAACCATACACCTATTTGCAGCTGGATCCCCCTAAGAGAGAGGTGGAACTTGAATGAAATGCCCTTTATTGCACTTCCTCTCAGATTTGGATCATTGCTGGATGTAAATGAACTGAGTGTTCGGTGAACTGTTTGTGAACGGTCGAATAAAGTTTGTTTATGTTCGTCTGTTAAGCTAAATAAATGAGTATGAACACATTTTTTTATGTTCATGAACACAAATAGAGGTGTTTCGTTCGTTTATGTTCACGGACAACTTTGTTTATGAGCTCGTTTATAAGTTCGTTTACGAGCTCGTTTATTGACTCGTTCATTTATGTTAATGAACAAGCTCGTTTACCAGTATTCTTTTTCTTTTTCTTTTTTTTACATTTAAAATATTGGTGAAGGGAGTGACTAAATTAAACATATGGTAAAAGTTAAAATTTAAACTATGAATTTTAAGGAGTTTAAGCACTAGTGACCTTTATTTACCATTTTGTTTAGCTTGTAGATAAAAGAGAAAAACTAATAATTCAACATATAAATGAATATAAATGAACAATAAATGAGCACTAAATAAACACTAAATAAATATGTTTGTGAACGCTAAATGAACACGTTCATAAGAATATAAATGAACACGTTCCTAAGCATATAAATGAAACCGTTCACGAATATTAAATGAACATGTTCGTGAACAATAAATAAATGAACACGAACTGAACATGAACACATTTAAAAATAAACAAACGAACCCGAACATAACCTTATTCGTTCAAGTTTGATTTATTTAAGCTCCTAAATTTGTAGTGACTCTAAACCCTCTGACAATGAACGTTTACACCTCTGCATATGCGGTATCTCTTCAAATTTGGTTTGATAATCCTCCATAGTTGTTAATTGTACTAGCTTAGTCAGTTATCCTTCCGGCGATTCAATTTTCGTTACCGTAAATCTTTTCTATATGGCTTCAATAAGATAGTCCCATTCGGCTAGCTGGCATCTTCGCTGCATCTATTAGAACCATTTTTGTTATCATTCTATCCATTCGAAAAGAAGCCATAGTTACCCGGTGATGATCCCTAATGCCATAGAAATCAAAGAAATCTTGGGTAGAGACAATTCATTTTTTGGGATCCTTACCTGTAAGCAGTGGAAGCTTCACATAAACTGGTTTAGGAGGAAAAGAAAAAACATTCTCTACTTCTTCCTTGATCTTAACCTCACCACAATTTAACAAGATCTCACCCATACTCTCTATTTCGTGCGATTTGATTGATCTATTTATTATTGTTAATGTCAAGGAATAATAACTAAAACTTGTTTATTGGATTGTATTGATATAAAAAGGAGTTTAGCATTTCAGATGGAAATACAAAGATATTGAAATACAAGATGTGATGATGCATGAACCCCATGATTTTAGTGGTAAATGAATTATTATTATTTTTTAAGGTTTTGGATTCAATTAATGACAATGCCAGAGGTATGAGTGATCAATGTCAAATAAATGAGAGTTATTTTTAAATAGATAATATCTTGTATTTATCACAGATTAATAAAAAATGTGATAATGAAATACAATTCTTATTTTCTTTTTCAAAAATATTTACTTTTTGTGTTCTTATCCACGATGGACACCTCATGCTAAATTTTTTTATGATATGTATGTTTACTTATAGATACATCCCAATTTTTGAAATATTATAATATATAAATACAGGGATTGAATCATAATACCAAATCAAAGAGAATAAACTATAATTAATAATAAAAATTTAGATGAAAAAATTAAATTAAATTAAAATTAGAAGGTTTAAATAGATATTTTCTTTATATATTTTTAATAATAAAAAATATGAGGGTAGTAGTCCTCTTGAATGAATTATAATTTCGTCCCTATATTAATGAATTGAATATTGATTTATAAACATAAAAAAATTAATTATTGACTATAATTGAATATTGAAAAGACAGAGTATTTATGTTCAAACTTCAATGGGAACCAAAACGATGAAGATGTAGAAGTATGCATAGAAGGACACGTTCTCCCCTCAAAGGATTGTTTCAAGTACCTAGGGTCTATGATACATAAAGATGGGGGTGTAGATGATGACGTTACACACCGTATAAAGGCGGGATGGCTAAAGTGTAGGGCCGCTACTGGAGTTTTGTGTGACAAAAAGGTGCCTCTAAAACTTAAGGGAAAATTTTATAGAATGGCAATAAGATCAGTGCTGTTGTATGGATCAGAATGTTGGGCAACCAAGAAGGATCACGTAAGGAGGATAGAGGCCGCAGAAATGAGAATGCTTCGATGGACATGTGGTAGGACTCTGTGGGATATGACGACAAACTCTGCTATTAGGATGTCCTTGGGGGTGGTATATGTTTCCAAAAAATTGAGGGAGGGAAGACTACGGTGGTTTGGGCATGTCCTTAGGCGACTACCGTCGGATGCGGTCATGAGGGTTCAGTCGATTACAGTCGACGGTGCCAGAAGGAAAGGTCGACCAAGGCGGAAGTGGGAAGACTGCTTGAGATCTGATTTGATGGATTTAGCCCTTACCGAAGACATGACCTCTGATAGGAAAATATGGAGGCTAAAAACTAAGGTAGTCGAGTAATGTGGGTCACATCTATAGGGTGTATCATCTCTGTCTTCTTTTAATGCCTTTGTAGTAATTTCCATGACTTCTACTTTTTATACGTTTTGTTATTGGTATTATGAAGGATTAGAATTGGGCTTGATATCGTTGACTTCTGTGTATCATTCTCTTCATGTTTCCTCTTTTAAATTTAGCCGGGTCTTATGTTTCTGTCTATATGTAGAGATTCTTTCGCAGGGATTATTTTGCAGGGATTAATTCCCATTACAGACACACATATGATTTTAATGACTGCATATGAATACTGTTTAGCTATGTATTTATGTATTTATTTATACATGCATTGCATTTATCTATATTTTAATTTTCTGACTGCCGGAGGTCTTTTTCGGAAGCTACTCTCAACCTGGCGTTGGGGGCAGCCTACTACCCTACCTCCCCCTTACCCCATACATATGGGAATTGGGTTTTGTTGTTGTTTATTATTCAAAATTTAACCTGTAAATACAATCTCAGTTACTAATTTATATAATTTAATTATTCACTAAAACATCAAATAAGTCCTTGAACAATGATTTTATATCTTCTTTATTGCAAAAGCTTTCTATTTGTTTGTTTATCATTCGAAATATTGGATTACTTCATGTTCAAAAATGTTAATTTCTAAGTTTTATTTTTAAAATTTAAAAAGTATATACATAAAAATTGGAAAAAATGAAAAAATAGAAAGCTTTTGGTGTAAATTAAATATAAAATCATTGTGACCTATATGATGTTTTAATGGCCAATTTGTTACTTTTGAAACTTTAGTGAGGGAAATGAAAACTTACTTAAACATTAGTGACTATTTGTGTAGTTTACCCATTTTTCATTTTATAAATTCATTGTGTCACATCAACAATCCATTAAAGTTCTAACGGCAATAATCCTCACTGAGCACATTTTAATTAATAAAATGAAAGTGAAAATATTATATATTTTGAATTTTGTGAGGCAAAATATTAAATATAAAATCATTGTGACCTATATGATGTTTTAATGGCCAATTTGTTACTTTTGAAACTTTAGTGAGGGAAATGAAAACTTACTTAAACATTAGTGACTATTTGTGTAGTTTACCCATTTTTCATTTTATAAATTCATTGTGTCACATCAACAATCCATTAAAGTTCTAACGGCAATTAATCCTCACTGAGCACATTTTAATTAAATAAAAATGAAAGTGAATAAATATTATATATTTTTGAATTTTGTGAGGCAAAATATACAATACTTAAACGAAAGTGATCAATTTTGCAGTTTACCCTATAAACTAATATAAAATTTAAGGTAAACTACACGTTTAGCATCTAAACTATTACTTTTGTTCTGTTTTAATTCTTAATTTTTTAAATCATACATAACATTTAATTTAGATTTCATTTTGGTATTCCACTTTTAAATAACTTAATAGTTATATTGACGTGTCATCATAAGGTAATGCCACATTATCATTAAAAAAATCAAAAAAATGTCACGTTAGTAACTCTGTTAATTTTTAATATTGATGTGTCAAATTAAAACTTAAACTAAACATTAAATATGATTTTGAAAAAAAAAATATAGTTTACATTCCAAAATGAAACAAAAGTAATAATTTAGATACTAAATATATACTTTTATCCTAAAATTTTTATGTTTTACTAGAATCTATCTCCTTGATATATATATATATATATATATATATATATATATATGATCATGTTACACAATATAAAATTCTTTTAGTTTTACATAAATTTAGAACAGTTAGATGAGTGAAAATATATGACTGAGATTAACAGTAGGACTGAGATTAACAATATGCAATGAGAATATATTTACTGTAAAGAAAAAATAATGAGTCAATTTGAACTATCTATTTTTACTCATCTAACTGTTTTAAGTTTGTGTAAAATTTATTTGCACAAACTAAACCTCAGTGGTAAAGAAATTGTTGTTATTCCTTGAAATTTCAAGTTGAAGTCCCATGAACGTTGGAGGTATGAACTTTTAATATTAAATAATTAAAAATTATTTTTTAAATATTAATATTATTTTGTATTAATATGAGATTAGTCAAAAAGGATTTGAATTTTAATTTAATTGATGACTCAGAAAAAATATTTTAAAAAAAATATTAAAATAAAAAAAGTAATCACACAGTCAAATAAGATATATTAACGGTTAGAATATGGTTTACAAAAACAGCTACGTGTCAGTTTTCTCTTTTCATTCTCTTTGTTTTCCGGGTAAATTATAAATTTGGTAGCTTAACTTTACTCTCTCTCCTATTTCACTCACTGTATTTTAAATATTCTCAATTATCTCACTGAACTTAATACATTAGATTTTTCTGGCCATTCAGTCATTTTCTCACTAACAACGTTACAAATGAGCTTTTTATAGATGGAAAAGGACATCGTTGAGGTGAAAATTTTATTTTTAAAAATAAATTATTTTAGCGATATTAACTATTTAACGGTGAAATGAAAAAAACCCTCAATGTATTAAATTTAGTGAAAAAATTAAAAATTTAGAATTTATTGAGCAAAAGAGGAAAGAGATTAAACTTCAATGATGAAATTTATAATTTACTCTTGTTTTCTTCTTTATCCAAACAATAAAATCAAAACTACCCTAAAAAGCGACCATACCATACCCGTTCCCTTTCTTTACTTTCTCTCTCTCTCTCTCTGCAAAATCTATCGGTTCCTTCCTTTACTCCTATCCCATGACCACTCTCTCATCTTAAACCCAATATTTTGGAATGCTTGTTTTCCACTTCTTCTTTGATTTCCTTTTTTTATTCAAAAGATAATAAATGGATTCTCTTCATGATTCAATTTCAGCAGCCAACACCGCCGCCGCTAACGGCAACACTGTGCCGCAGTTTCTGAGCAAAACCTACGATGTGGTGGATGACCCATCCACAAACTCGGTCATTTCGTGGAGTAGCGGTAACAACAGTTTTGTTGTATGGAAAGTACCAGAGTTTTCAAGGGACCTTCTGCCCAAGTATTTTAAGCATAACAACTTCTCCAGCTTTGTCAGACAGCTCAATACATATGTGGGTATTTCTTTGATTTATGATTTTTTTCCGTTTTTAGAATTGCAATTCTTTGAACACATGTAGGCTGATTTGGTCTTTAGCTTTTTAGTTCACGTGCTAAGAATTCGATCCTAAGACCTTTAAGGTGTGATTCATTGAGGAGAATCACGATTTTGAAGTTTAAGGGTTTCTGGATTCGTTTAAATTTGGGTTTTTATTATATTGCTCTGTGTGTGTGTGTGTAGATGAGATTGAAATTAACTGTGAATAGTTTTAATGATGGAGTTGCCTTGGAGAAGAGATTTTAGAACCCATATTGCTGTTGGACCATGAATTTATGGCATAGTAATTGTGTAAGCTGAATTGAACGGGGATGTTGATTTGTTAAAATATAGGAAGGAATTTTCAATCGTAATATGCTGGTTATGTTGTATAGGATTAATAACTACAAAATTAATTATTTCTTTGTGCATTTCGAAATTTGATAACCGTTGCAGTTCCTATTACCATGTAGGATTGTCGATGGTATAGGGATGTTTGGTTGAAAACCATTTACCATGAAATACAAACATGGAAGAATTGAGATGAAATGTAAATAGTAAAAGCTGATAAACTCTCTTTATATGTCTATTTGTTGGGGCTAAGTTTGGAAATTTCGGTACGAGGGTTGTGGCTAAAAGTATTGACTTCTAATGCTGTTTTGGAGGTTTTACTGTTTGGTTCTTGGTCCATTGAATGCATATTCCTATAAAAATAAAAGAAAGCTGGGAAATAGCAAATAGATGATCTGGGCCGAGTTCAATGGTTTTCTGTAGTGAGCATCTCTTGGTTGGGTTCATCCTCACACTTAGTTATTCTCTTGAAGGGGAGATTAAATTCCATCTCTCGTTTAGCAATAGCATTGTTTAAGTTGGTTGTAATTGATGCACATAGCGTTACTAACTTGAGTGCTCTAAACTTATTCTTGTCTACCTTCCCAGTAGTAATGGTGATGAATTCTAGTTTCTCATTCTAACTTCATAGTTACTAGCTTGATCTGCATATGATTACATTTGCAATTAATGTACTATTGAGCATACACCCATATGCATGGCCAACCGGCCATTTATATATTTTGACCAACTTTACTATCAAGAAAATGATACTACTTATTGCTGTTGTTTTTTACTAACCTTATCTGTTGAATTTGAATTAGATAAAGTATTTTTGATATTCATGTATGATGTTTTTGTTCTCAGATCAGGAACAGAGATGCCTTTTACTTTTCTTCCTTATGGCTTTTTATCTTGATTTCATGATTCTGGAACAAATTCTAAACGTTTTTAATAATGTTTTTCATTTAAAATACTATCAATTCTGGAGATGTATTTATATTCCTTGCTTTTGTCCATAATTGATTCTTTTTCTATATTCTCGTCATGTTTGATCTAACTACATTGTTTACTTGGAATAAGTCAAGAGGCATGATAAGCTTACGTTAAGTTTAAGGATTTTCTGAGAAAGATAATAAATTCAGGGGATTGGCTAAATTGACAATTGATTTCCTGATGTTCTCATATTAGCTTTTCTACTTTTGATTTTTCTTCTTTTTTCAATGTCTTCCGACTCTGAAATGCATTTCTAGCCAACAAGTGAGCAAAAGAATGATGGGTAAACTAGGAGAGTATTATTTATAAGCTCTTGGCCCATGGGTTGTAATTCGAAATTAATTCATTTGAGAGGGTGGATGTTATGATTGAATTGTTCTGATCTTTTCTTTTTCTTGATCCGAAGAACTCATCTAGTTGTAATTGTGTTTGTTATCTGCAGGTTTAAGTATATGCTTGTAGTTACTAACTGATTGTGGTCAGGAATTGGGGCTCAAACAAGATGGATGATATGCGATTCAATTAGATATTAAATTCAATCCTGCTTTACGCATATGTGGGCTTGCTACATTCTGTTTGGCAAATATATGTGATTACTCTTGTTGATCATCATAATTTTTTTCCTTAGGGTTTTAGGAAAGTTGACCCAGATCGTTGGGAATTTGCAAATGAGGGGTTCCTAAGAGGTCAGAAGCATCTCCTGAAAACTATCAGCAGGCGAAAACCTACTAATGTCCATAGTAATCAAAAACCTCAAGTCCAGAGCTCAACGGTTGGAGCTTGCATTGAGGTAGGGAAGTTTGGACTAGAAGAGGAGGTTGAAAGGCTGAAGAGGGACAAGAATGTTCTCATGCAGGAACTTGTTAGGTTGAGACAGCAGCAACAAGCCACAGATAACCAGTTGCAAGTTGTAGGCCAGCGTGTACAGGTGATGGAGCAGAGACAACAGCAAATGATGTCTTTTCTTGCTAAGGCCATGCAAAGTCCAGGTTTCTTAAATCAGCTTGTACAACAGCAGAATGAAAGCAACAGGCAGCTTACTGGTGGAAACAAAAAGAGGAGACTCCCGAGGCAGGATGAGGAAAACTTAACTAGTGAACATGGTACCATATCTCCCAGAGGACAGATTGTAAAGTTTCAACCTTCACTGAATGAGGCAGCAAAGGCAATGCTGCACCAGATATTGAAGATGAACACATCATCTAGGCTGGAACCTTCAATAGATAACTCGGGTGCTTTCATGATTGATGGTATTTCTTCTTCCAATGCATTAGACAGTGGGAGCTGCTCCAGTCGGATTTCTGGAGCGACACTTTCATCTGCATAAATCACAAAAAGATGCTGTTTTTCCAAACGTCCCTCAAATGCAAGCGATTGTGCCTGATACTGATAATAATGTTGGTTTTACTGATGCAAGTTTGGGAGGAGGGTCTGAGAGAGGGAATGCGGAGTATGTTGATCCAGTGTCAGCCATTTTTAATGGTGCAAAATCTATAGAAACGGGTGATCTTTCTACTGATCATGATATGGACATCTTGTTGGATGGAACCCCTAAGCTTCCGGCAATTAGTGATGTTTTTTGGGAACAGTTCCTTACAACAAGCCCCCCCAGCGGGGACACAGGAAATTAACTCTAGTTCTCCCGAAAATGGTGCAAGTGGTGAACATGAATTACTGTTGGGGCAGGATAATGGATGGAATGGAATTCAACATATGAATCATCTTACGGAGCAAATGGGCCTTCTTACATCAAATAGCCAGAGAGGTTAATGGCCTAGAAATTGTGTAAATGTGTTGCTGTTTTGAGGTAAATGTTCGAACAAACTATCCACCATATTTAGCTATGACCTGGAGTACCATACATAGTACTGCTTCTGTTGAAATGCATATCATGATTTCCTTGAAAAATAATATTTTGCCCTTACGACCTGAATTTATTGCCATGTTGTATTTTTCATTTTTGATAATTCAATCCTTGGACAAGGTCTTGTGCAAAATCCCTTTATTTTTGTATTTTTAAGCTGTGTACATTTGGTGCAATCTTGAACGTGCTATCAGCATAACTTTAGAGAAACAAATCATTTTTGTGGTGTTAATTTATTCTATGGTTTTTGCAGGGTTAATGCTGCTGATGATCTATGAAGCTGGCAAGAAAAAGCATTTGTTAATTTATTCAATGTTATTGTACTAATAGGCATAACAATATGCTATTCAAATGGTTGTTATCCAGTGAAACACAATAGTACAAATATATGCATATATCAGCTAAGAAGGGTATGTTACGGAATACCTCTTTCAGCCATGTAGATGCACTTGAAAATGCAAATCGCAAAAGAATATTTGGGTATTGCTCCCTTTTGCCTTTTCCTTTCAAATCTATTCAAAACCTTAAAAGCTATATCCGGCAAGAATTGATAAAATTGAGCCACAGTTTTAACAATGTCTGTCAATGTGAAAGATAAATCAGGGTTCAATTTCAGTTTAAATAAATTTATTTGGGATTAACCCCAACAAAAATATTAAAAGATTAAAAATACTACCCAAAGTTCAAAAAATATGAAAGATAAAATAGGGACCAATTTAGTTTACATATTTTTTTGGTGACCCCTGCATAAAAATTATAAGATTAAATGTACTGCACTAAATTCTAAAACATGAAAGATAAAATAAGAGTAAATTCTAGTTTAAATAAAATTTATTTTGTTAGGGGGGGGGGGGAGGTGGGTGCCCCAACACAAATATTATAAGAGGAAAAATACTACACTAATTTATAAAATATGGAACAAAAGTAAAGGTCAATTTCAGAATAAATAACATGTTTAAGGATTAAACAGTAAAAAACAAAACTTCAGCACTTGAAATGAAATTTACCTATTTTTTTAATTCAATCCTTAAAAAACCATAAACACTAATTTTGAAAATCAAGATTTTATTTTCTTAATAATCCAAAATTGATAGGTAGATCAATTCTAATTTTAAGAGTAATTTTAAGAGGAGACGCTTTCAACACATTTCTTCCATCATTTCAGTTCCGTAAGTTAAAAAATGGTTTTTTTAATTAACGTATTCGATCTATTGATCGATTAATCCAGATCAGGTATCGCAGAGGCAAAGACAACCCTCCCAATCCAGTTTGCTCCATTCACAAACGTTAGGATTTAAACCTCTGACCTTACTTAAAAAATTTAGTACCTCATTCTGCTAGATCAACTTGTTGGTAAAAGTGTTACTAATTAATATATTTTTTTATAAAATGTGTGTAGTTGATTATACCTCTATCTTACGTAGTCAAAATTCTATTTTTTAAATAAATTCATTTACATATTATTTTCTTTTTTTCTAAAATAAAGATTATTCTCATAAAATTATCGAAAAGTATGATACAGTGTTATGGTTTAGATACGTGAATTAAATCCCTAAAATCCATATTAGAGAGAGGTAATATAGGACACATAATACAAGGTGAAATTATGCAAGGATAAGATATGGAGATCCCGAGGAAAGTGATGGCACCTTTTGCTAATAAAAAAAAAAGTTGAAGTAAAAAAATGATCCCTTTTATATGATAATACATTGTTAAGTCTATCGATTATTAAAAATTATAAAATGATTAATCAATTATTCATATGTTTTAAACTTGTCATTTCTCTCAATTATATATATACATATATGATTAAAATGTAGCTTCATGAGATTGGAGTTATAGCATAACCGAGAGAAGAAGATTTACGGAGAAGAACTTAAAACTTAAAACGAGTGGCTTTTTCTAATTCTTTAAATGAGAAACTATACTTTTCTTAGTGGGATAATAAGAGTTAACAGTTGAAGGACTAAAATATATTAAATCGATAATGTAAGGATTAAAATCATTCTTTTTTTTGAATTAATGACCAAAATCGGACGGACTGAAAACATAAGGTATAGTTTACCCTATATTTATTGTGGTGAGTTTAAATTATTTAAGAAAAAAATATATTTAATTTTATTATTAGAATCACTTTTGTATAATGTCAAAAAATCTTCAAATATTTGATTAAATAGTTATTTTAATTCTTTTTTAGAGTATTTTGACCATCAAATGTTTCATTTTGAGACAAAAAAGTCCATACGTGGACAAAAATCGTTAATCAACAAACGATTAATACTCTAAAATAAAAATCTTATTGTTCTAAAATTAAATGTTAGGGGTCAAAATACTTACAAAAAAAAGATTAGGGGATAAATTAACTTTTTAGTCAAATGTTAGGGGTCAAAATCTTATAAAAATATAAGGTAAAATGACTATTTAGGCAAACGTTATGAGCTAAAATATTCCAAAAAAAGAATATGGATTGAGGTGACTATTTAGTCCAATGTTAATGCCCTATCACGAAATATTATAAATTAAAATACTAAAAAAAAGCATAGAGACCAAAATAATTATTTAATCAAACATTAGAGGTTTTTTTAACATCATGTTAATCACATTTTGAATTTAGTAATGTTTTAATATTTTTGTGTTATTATATACCATAATCTATGGTGTTTTACCAAAATATCACACTACCACCAATAATTACCTGTCAGGCACCATCACCCCTAATATTATCGATCTATCACCCTTTCTAACACGGTGGTAATAAAGTGTGGATCACCATCCACACCTTTAAGGGGTTCTGTCTTAGCTAGAGCCACGTAAGGAAAGGCGTGTGGATCGTCATCCACGCCTTCGAGGGGTTCGGTCTGAGCTGGCGCCACGTAAGGAAAGGCTCGGATAGCGATCCGCACCTTCGCGGGGTTTTTGACACGTACGGAAGGCGCATATCCTTCCATTATGCATGCTGAATTATTGATACTCCACAATTACCCGAGCTTGGAAGCTCGACTTTTAAACCCTTCATCTCTCCTATAAATAAGAACCCTCTGAATGCAAACATCACCTAACCAAAATTACTTGCTTATTCTCGCTTCTATCAATTCCTTCTATCAAGCTAAGTAGATTTTGTTATTGTTTTTATAAGGTAAAATTATTTTTATTATATTATATTTTTTATATTTAATTATTTGAACACAATTTTATTGTACTAATTATTTTGTATAATTTTTAGGGTTGTAAAATTGGAAAGCGAGATAATACCTCGAGACATTTTGCCAATACGGTAACAATATGAAATTATGTTATTTCAATTATTGTGATTTTTTAATTATTTGGATTAGTTTATATTTTAATTTATATATTATTTATTTAATTAGACATATTTCAACTATTGTTTTTACATATATAAGACTCTCAGTCCTTAAAACTCTCAAAATGATGTGTATTTCAACTATTGTTTACCATGATGGAGAAATTCGGAAAGATGAAACCGATGTCATCTTCGTATCAAATCATTCTGTCTGAATATCCTTGAAGAGAAACATTACTCTTGAGGAGCTGATAACTAAAATTTCAAGGAAGGTTCATGTTGGAAGTACTAGAAGACTGTCTTCACTTCAGTATGGATTTCCAACCGCAGTATTTTTGTTAACTTATACAACATTCAAACTCTCTAATGATGACGATGTTGCTATGATGGTTGATTCTCAAAATCAATATTCAAACGCCGATACATAGATGTATGTGATATTTGTTGAAGTGTGTGTTGTTTGTGGTATGTCATTATGCTCCCACTATGGGCTGACTCAACAAGTTGATCAAGTTGACAGCCCAACTCAAGTAATGTGTAATGATTTTAACTCGTTAATGGGAAATCCACATCATGGTGCGATCTCATCAAGTTCAATGAGGAGACATTCATCAACAACTTGTTACAATCTGTACCGAGGTGGCTCTACAAATAATCTATATGGCAACATTGCTTCCAGTTCAAGGGAAATACATTCAGCTGCCAATTTCTTTGATCTGAATACGGAGATGCCCTCGACGCAAAAATTTGTGCAGTACCCATTTGACATGATGCCTTCAAGTTCAAGGGGGAGACATTTAACTACGAGCATCTTCAACCTCAATGTCGAGATGCCTTCAAGTTCAAGGGGAAGACATTCAACTACCAGCTTCGACCTAAATGTCGACATCGTGAAGGAACCCTCATCTCCACCAGAAGAACCTCTTCGTGAGCCAGGTGCGAATGGTAATGAGACTGAACTATTCATTCAACTAGAATCACCACAGTTCAATATAGACTCCGATGATGGTGATGTAGATGAAGTTTCCACAAATATGGTACACACCGAACCTCCAACACACATGTATGAAGCTGACTATGGTGTAATGTAAGGGCTAGAATTTATGGATATGCCTAATGTCGGTGACTACAAATTTAACTCATCAGTCAATAATGGTGAGTTATATAAAGGAATAGAGTTTCCATGCAAAGAATAAGAGATTATGGCAATTAAGAATTACAATATTTGTAATTATGTTCAATCCAGAGTGGACCGTTCCACCATCATAAAGTATGTCTGTCACTGTGTCCAACGTGATAACGGATTAAATTGGATGGTTCGTGTATCGAAGAGGAAGAGGAAAAACAATGTATGGAAACTAACGGTATACAACGATCCTCACACATATTGTGCTGGAGTGATCAATCAGGATCATCCCAACTTGGACTCTGACATTATTTTCCAATCCACCATGCCTATGGTCAAAGCAAGCTCCCACATAGCTATTGCGGTGCTGATTTCAACTATACAGTCGCAATATGGGTATAACATCTCATATAGGTAAGCATCAAAGATAATGCAGAATGTCATTAAAAAACTTCACAGCGAGTGTGATGCATTTTACATCGAACTACCAAGTTGGTTTAGGGTAGTGCGCATATCCAATCATAAATAGAATAAGTAAATAGCACTCACATTTGCCTCAGGTAAGTTCAAAACAAAATCATTTTCTTTTAATCTCGTACTATGTCGATTCCTTCGGTACCGTTTCAATATAAATTTACACATATACATTTCCCATATCAATACCAATCTATGCTAACATTTAACCTATTAATACTACAAAAATGGAACGAAAAACTTTAGAATTTCAAGTTTCAGACTTAATAGTATTGGTACCCCTTCTATAGTACCGGTACTGCTCTCTTATGGTACTGATACCTCCTTCAGTACCGATACTATTTTGGCATTCTAGAATTCCAATTTTAGATACAATATCGATATCTTCCTCTTGGTATCGATATCTCCACCTCAGTTTCGATACTTATTCAATCAGTATCGATATTGTTCATCTAGTTCATACTATTTCTTGCAATTTAACCTTATAGTATCGGTACTGTTCTTTCAGTACCGATATCCTTACCCAGAAATCACTTATTTCGCTTCGAAAATTACCCAACTTTCACTTAAATCTCTTACCCTTAACTCTATTTATAAATTCAAACTCATTTACACTTATTCCCACTAACTTATCTCCATTAAAACCCATTTAACATAAAAAAATCTACCATATAACTCTTGGAACTAAAAATCATATCAATTTTTCAAACATATTTTAATCCTTCCTAACACTTCTAATCCCTTAATTAAATCTTGACAAGTCAAATATATCTTTAAAAATCCAAATACAATCAATTTCAATCAATTCTCTTAAAAACTCATTTTACTAAATCACCATTAACTCTTTATTCCTTTAGCTTCTAATTATCTTTAAGCTTTCTTAAGTTTCTATACCACCCAAGGATTAAAACTCAACTAAAAAACGAAAGAAAAACCAGCTAGAAAGGTAACTCACCTTAGCATGGAGTTTCACGGGGAAGAGGGGAAGAAGAGAAGAGAAAGCTTCCAGAATTTTCCATTATTTATTTTTTTATTCCCATTTATAAAGCCTTGGGAAAAGATATTTTAAGTTCCTTTATGCTAAAAGACCATTATGCCCTTTTATTTTTCCATCTTTAAAAATAATTCTTACACAAAAACTCCCAAATCAATTATTGAACTTTTCAATTTATCAAAATTAAACCACTAAATTTTCAATCTTTACACTTTAGTCATTGACCCGAAGATTGATATGTTATATGGTGAACCTTCACCTACCAAATAACTAGCATATAAACCTCAAGATGGATATACAAGCATGAAAATATAATATCCGCCAGGAGGGGTCATAAAACTCTTCGACGGTGGCAGCATTTTGTATTGAAGCGGTGGCATCTAAACCAGCTATAGTGGCATATGAAATGGTTGCGATGTCATCTGATACAGTTGTGGTGCCATCTGAAATGGATGCGGAATATACACTGGTGTAGACAGTGGCTGCTGTGATGGTTCTAGTGCTGCAGTTGAAGATGAGCCAGAAGCGTCTGCTCTCTACCCACGAGTCGAGGGGACAATGATGTTGTGACAGTGGACGTCTTTGTGGATACCAATGAATGCTTCTACCTCGGGCTTCAACGAAAAGTAGGAATAGTTTCCCGTTCGTGCTGAACCACTCATAATAATCATCTGTAACTGAGTAATAATCCACATAAATAGGCTTCGTACAGGAAATACGCCCACGTCGATCCTCCCATAACATTACCCACTCAATGTGCTTCAGCAGCTAGTCGACTTCTTTTTTGCCTCGTCTATCGATGATATGCATATCGTCGAGATTCTTAGGTGCTTCCGGAATATATTGTACAAAACCAAATAGGCAGAGCACGCGATCAGTAGGATGCCACTCGACAATAGCATAACATATTAGAGGGACCATCACCATCCATGCATCTAATGGGTCTCTCATGTGATGTGGGATGGAAATCCTCATTTCTTCAGTGGAATAAGGAACCCATTGAATCTAAAACATATATATATATATATAATTCTTATCAAAATAATATTCAAATTATATAACGATAATTAAAAGTAGATAATAATAATTAAATACGTACATCTGTACTAACCTTCTGATCAATGAGTAGCCTAATTTCTTCCAATTCTCAGGTAAATCTCGATGATCTTTTCTTGCACTTGACCACCTATTCAATGAAATAATTTTCATTATATACTAAACAACATTATTTATATACGAAATCAATATTGAAATTACCTCTAGAATAACAGGAAGATCAACGAGTTTTTCACCACTAGACATAAAAAGGGAATGTGATACCACACCCAAGACTGGAGAAGAATGAGACATCCACCAATATCATTTTTTTATAGTTAGTAGCTTGACACATTTCCCTATATAGAAATGCCAAAACAATGCAAGAATGTGTCGGGCATGATGAAAATGAGTGTGCTAGCATGATGAAAATCTACAAGGTGACTTAACCACATACAATGAACTTGGTTGAGCGATTTGTCGGGCATCATGATCCCTCCTATGAGTTGTAATATGCAAGAATGTGCATACATTTTAACCTGCTCCTCGAAGGCGTCGCGACTCAAATGTTTAAAAGTTATATCCAACCAATTTAACAGTATTCGACCACCATTGAAATTAGGTGGGACACCTCCAAGATACTCCTCGCACAAAGAATGCCAGTCACCATTTTCCACCCCAGAAATCACATCCTCATCTGCTGGAAGCCCCAAATATATGGAAACATCCTCCAGCGTAATTGTGCACTCTCTATACGAAAGATGGAATGTGTGTGTCTCTGGTCTCCACCTCTCAACCAATGCAGAAATAAGATTGGATTCAAGGTTATAATGCCCTTCATATTTCGTTACGTAATCGAATCCAACCTCGACTAAATATGGCCATACACGAGTAGGTATCTCTAACTTAAGATTACGAATGAATGGATCTAATATACGATATCTCTCCTAATTTAATAAATATTATACAAATTAAAATATAAACTAATACTAAAAAAAAAAAACATTAGCAATAATTAAAATTATAACAGAATTTAAATTTGTTACTGTATCGCCAAAATGCCTCGAGATATGATTCTCATCTAAATGCAACAAACTGTCTTCCATTTTATAACTGCAAAAAGTAATAAAAAATTAGTATAATAAAATTGAATAAAATAATAAATTATTGATTAATTATAATACAATAAAAATATTTTACTTTCTTAATAGAAAGATTGATGCTCAGAATAATGACATAATTTGATATTTGAATGTGGTTTGGAGGTTGTGTTTCGGTGTGATATTTATAGGAAGAGGGGGAAACAGGCTCCTATAAATGTGGGAGGTGGACGAAGGAAAGGCACGGATCGCCATCCGCGCCTTTCCTTACGTGGCGCCAGCTCAAACCGAACCCCTAAAAAACGCGGATGACGATCCGCGCCTTTTCTTATGTGGCACCAGCTCGGAAAGAACCACTCGAAGGCGCAGATGGCGATCTGCGCTTTATTACTACCGTGCCAGAAAGGATGCTAGATTGGTAATATTAGGGGCGAGGGTACCTAACAAGTAATTATTGGTGGTACGGACAATATTTCGATAAAAACATCATAGTCTACTTCTATTTTTCAGTTTAGAAAATAATAATAATAAATTTACATGATTATTGATTGTTTAAATTTGGATTAAAGAAATAAAAAACGATTATTGCAACTCAAATTAATTCACCATAGTAGAATTTAAACCAATATGTACCATCATCAATAACAAAATAATTATAGTAATCGACAATGACACTGTCCCATGCCAACTCTCATAAGCCATTATATATCAAGAAACTTGAGGCATGTGATAACGTATAAACCACTCAATATCTAAATAATTGGCGTAGATGGTTGAGGCACGTAATAACTTACAAGCCACTCCTTTATCATGACATGAGACATACACAGACTAGACCGGATGCATTTAATCTTCAATATCTAACCTATTAATCGATTAATTCAAATTAAATACTATAGAGACTAAATATGAAGACGATCCTTTCAACTCAGATTGTTTCATATGAAAATATTAGAATTTGAATCTCTAACATTCCTTAAAATAAGCTAGTACATTTTATTAGATCAACTAATTTGCATACCATTTTGTGCTTTTTTAGAACATGGGGCCAAAATTTGCATACCATGGCTAATATCCTCTTATCTCCAAAAACAAAATCTTATTTAAAACAGAGTTAATTCCATCATGTACTGAGAGTATAATCCTCATTTTAAATTAGTCCTTAAACTTTTGAACATTTTATTTCATCCCCAAACTATGACATTCATTCAAAATTAGGTCCCCAAATTTTTTGAACATTCTAATTTCATCCCAAACTATAATCACGTCCCTTGTTAATAACATCATTAGATCAAGTTATATTATTATATATTTGACAAAACCAAAATTTAAGTTAAACTATGGTTGAAACCAATTAAATATTTGGATGAATTTAAGGATTAAATTGGAAAATCAAAAAGTTTGGGGACCAATTTAGGATGAGGGTCATAGTTTAGGGATGAAACTAGAATGTTCAAAAGTTTAAGGACCAATTTTGAATGAGAGTTATAATTTGAGGATGAAACTGAAATATTCAAAAGTTTAAGGACTAATTTAAAATGAGGGTTATAGTTTGGGGACGTATGATGCAATTAAGTCTTTAAAGAATAGATACGTAAACAAAAATTACAGGCTAAGACAAATGGGAGTTGTTTCTGCCACACCTTCGCAAAGTATTAATATGGATAACACCATCACCCTGAAACAAACTTACAAACATTTGAATATACATACACTTTGGAATTTTATTAAATCAGGCAAACGGAGCAATCTATTTTACATGCTTTGCTGCAAACTAAGAACCTCCATGGAGGATATTACTTGCAGCATAAAAAATTTGGTAACAGAGATGATATACGACTGTATAGTTTGGATAGTACACCACCTGAATGTGTTCATTACATTGCTTCTGACAACTTCTAAGCTCGAGATGTTGAATATGTAGAGCTTAAGCCACAACAACTATGATGAAAATGAGGAGAATGATCCCAAAGATTAACACCAGCAAACACCTCTGCACGAAAAGATTGTGGTATAATCATGTTTAATGTCACATTTTTGCTTAAAACATGCAAACAATTGACCAATATTGGAAGAGAGTTGTGGGAAAATGATTTGGATATATCAAACTTACTGTTGATGAATTTGCTCTCTGGATCTTGGATGCCTTTTTAAGATGTGAAGTAGCTTGAACAGTTGCTGCATGGGAATTCTCAATGTTCGAACCTATGTCATCTGCGAGGAAATAAAATTACAACAGCTTGGGAAGTTAGCAGGCAAAGTTTGGAGAATATTGAGCAAGAAAGATAACTATTCCAGGCAAAGTATATAAAGGACACAAGTCTTACCAATCATGGATCCTTGCTCATGGACCAAAACTGCTAGATCTTTGAAAATCTCATTCACTTCACTTATCTGTTGCTGAACTTCTTTGATCCCGTGTTCTCGCTCTTCAATAATAGCTTCATTAAACGTGATCTCATTTTCCAACAGTACAACTTCTTGTCTGTCAGCAGGAGAAAAAAAGAAGACGTTTATAAACATTTCCAGGAAAACAAATTACAAAGGTTGTGATATATCTTTTTTCTCAGTATGGAAACTCAAGAAAGTCGATTGATGAAAAATTGAAGAGAAAAGAGACACAAGATAAGAAAATAGCTTTGCCCCTTGAATGCTTGATACACCAACCAAGTATGCAAATTACATGAATAGAGAACGAGTATATTTGAAGCCAGGCTTCTATCATTTAAAGCCTCCAAGAATGCTGCTGGAGAAATCCAGTGCAATAGTTTCACCCAAGTTGCTCAAGAAACCATTAAAGTGAGTCTCATATAATATCAACTTTTATAAACATAAATAAGGCTGATCAGTTCAGGAAGTGACAGTTTAACTTCTAGAATCGGCAAGAACACTAGACATCTATCTAAACAATTATGGAATTAGAAACCATCAAATAGGATTTCTTGAGAATCATCAACATCATTCAGAGTTAAGCTGAAGAATTTCTCAATAGGTCAAAGCTTCTATAATAAAGGAAGGATAAAAGTTGCCACTTCAAAAGAATGAATTGGGTGATGGAGAAAACATCTTTTTCAAGCAAGAAGTTGAAAATAATAAGGTTATGCCATCACAATACTCGAGCTTCTCAACCACACCAATAGTAAAACATTAAGTAAAATCCAGAAAGCCATTGCAAAAAAGTATGCATCATAAAAGTAGGTTATAGCATCGACATGCTATGTAAATAAAAAACAGCTCACCTTTTTGTAACCAGAAGCTGTTGCTGTTCTAGACTTTTGGATGGATTTTTCTCCAGCTCATAGGCATCATAACTGCGTATGTTTAATAAAAGATGTAACACAACAGTCTTGTAAAAATGATAACAGCTAAGCAGTAATTAAATTACACAGAATGGTCAACCCTGTACCATCTAAAAGTAGTTCAAAGAAGTTCGCAGGACCCCAAATGTAATATCAACATCTCTTGTGAGTCACACTATATTACATTCCAATTTCACCTTTCATATCTTTCAACAGCATTTGAAAGACTATAAAAAAGTTACTAGAACCGTTTCTAAGTCATTTTTCAGTACTCTTCAAAGTATTATGCTTGAATCTTCAAATTTTATTGTTACTATGTGCTTAAAATGCAATTTGAAAACCCATAAATTGGTTGATTAACTTTTCACTCCATAAAAGAAGATAAGATGTTTGTACCCAGGGCCAGGGCACAAACAATCGGCAATCACATTGAACATGCACATAAGCATTTTTACATCGAGTATTGACAGATTCAGAAATGCATGACCATCTTTACAAGCTACAGAAAATGTGCATTTATGCAGCTGTATGCACATAAGATCAGTTTCGGTGATAGTACCTGGAAGGAAGAACTTCTTTGGGAACAGAAGGTGTATATGCTGTCTCCCTCTCAGCTGCAAGCCTTTGAACCTTTTGAAAGTCTTTAAGAGCTGCTTGAAAATCTTTCGCAAGCTTAGCATCGGCAATTTTCTTTAAGGGCTGTAGTTTAGCGGAAAATAATAATTCAGGTAAGAAATCTAAACCACCACCTTCATTCTAACACAAGCTATAAAATGAGAGCAAAAAATATAGGAGGAAGTAAAAAACTTTTCCAAAAACCAATATGGTCAAAAGATGAGAGGACAAAAGCAAGGCTAAAAGATAAGCAGAGAAAGAAGGGGAAACCAACAAGTAAACCCGTTTCACCAAAGTGTGAAATGAAGTGCTCGTGAGAGGCTAAACACACAATTGAAGCGTCTTTGAACCCCCACCCCCCAAAAAAAAGACCTGTTTGCATCTGCATGTCATAAAATTTTTCACCAACATATTTAAACAAAAAGCAGATTAACTTGCACTAACTTCTGCATCTTGATCAGCTTCACTTGCTTCCCTTAGTTTAGCTGAAGTTTCTTTGATCAGCTGCCCAATATGTAGCCTTGTCTTATGCCTGACAATGAGAAAAAAAGATGTAAGGACCAATGAGGAGCACGATCACTGGTTGAATTAATTCCATAAATTCCATCTAATCTATACAAAGATTCATGTCCAAGATATCTATGTTGTGTCCCAGGTTATAATCGCAGCAACATGAAGGGCAAAATAGATCAATCGTGTAATGTGTTCATTCATTCGATTATTTGTTAGTTGCATATGGCTAAAAAATTACCCTATCAGAAAGGAGGTCCAAATTTATGGTCTTCAATTCAATCTTGAAATAAGCTTAAAAATCCAAGAGCCAAACACATTTTTGCTCCAAAACTATACGGTCAATTTTAAATTTATATGACAAAACAGAGCACTAAAAAAAGTAAATAAAGTTAAACTCTCCCAACAATAAAAATAGAAAACCCGGATCAAATTTACAAAGGGGAGGGGAAATTTGTAGAGTACATTAATGGGTATAGATAATAGAGGTTTGCGAAATCTAGAACGAAGGCCCAAATTTATATTCTTCCGATTCAATTTCGAAAACTAAGCTCCAGTCAAAATCAAAAGTCAAACCATTCATAGCCCAGAATTTATATGGTCGAATTCAAGTTCCAAACACCCAAAACTTTTCCAAATTGAAAGGGGAAAAAAGAATCAAAAGAGAGAACTTACAACTTGTCGCGTAATTCAACGGTGTCTTTAAGGGTACCGAGGGAATTTACAAGGCGATCAAAGGCCAAAATAGCAGTTCGTATTTTGAAAATCCCCGCCGCCACCGACTGCGAAGCCGAAGCATGTTCTGTATCTTGCCTTGGCTTTTGCAGAGAAGAATTGTATTGGTGTGGGGTAGCAAGACCCGCTTCAAGATCCTGGAAACTCATCTCTTTTGCTTTTCTTTAACTCGGGAGGAAGATGGGTTAAGTTGAAGAAAGACAAAGGAAGAAAGGTAGGGGAAGTTGAAGGAACCCAATAGCCAAAATACCTTAAGAAATAGCGTCCATATATTTTAAAAATATTAACATAAAAAGGATAAATTACAAATTTTTATCACTGAACTTAATTCTTTCTCCTATTTTTCTTACTAAACTTTAAAATATTTCAATTTACTTACTAAAATTAATACATTGAGTTTTTTTGTCACTATGCCATTAAATAGTTAAAGAAGTTGTTTTAAAAAAAATAAAATTTTCACCAAAATAATGTCGTTTTGCATCTATACATCAGTCAATTTATAATGCCATTAGTGAGAAAACGACTGAGTGACAAAAAAACTCAATGTATTAAGTTTAATGAAAAAATTGAAAAGCATTAAAATACAATGTAAAAAAATAGCTGTCCCTTTTTTTCATATGTATGGGGTAAAGGGAGGTAAGATAGTAGGCTACCCCCAATACTAGTTTGAGAGCAACTTCTGTAAGAAACCTCCGAATTATGAAATGCCCTCCGTGGGACTCGATCCCACAACCTCAAGGTTAAAAACCTTGTGCTCTACCAACTAAGCTGGATGGTCATTTCATGAAAATACAATGTGATAAATAAAAAAGAGAGTAAAATTTAATTACTAAATTTGTAGTTTACTTGTTTGGTGTAGCAGTTGTTCAACTTGAACAAGAAGTCCAATTTCAATTTTGTTTCCCTGGATATCTTTATACAAAAATTAAAGAGTAAACAACACGTGTGATCTTTTATATTTTTGGTCTATTTAATTTTGATTATTGGTTTTGAAAATGTTTGATTTTGGTCATTTTTGTTTTCGGTCTGTATTATTTTGATTACTAGATCGTTAACTTTCATTACTTTATTCACGTCACACGTTTGTGAAAATAGTTAAATTTTAACTTATGTAAACAATCTCCCATCTTTCAATGAAGTTAACCCTAAATTTCCCATCTTTCTACTCCAATATCAAATATTAGTGAACACCAATTTGATGTAAACAATTTGAATTTTATTATTACTCTAATACAATAAGGTTAATTCTATTAAGAATATGTTCAATAAATAGTGGTAGACGAAGTCGAAGATTTTTCAATGAAAGTACTCAATTTTTTTTAATACTTCATAAATATTTTTAAATCGTTATTCTTAATTTTTTAAATTTCTATGGTGTTTTTATTTTCAATATGTTTTGAAATTTCATTTATTTTTCATTAAGTTTCTGATTTTCTTTTAAAAAAATATTTAAAGAATAATTTGATTTTTATTATCAGTTTGCTTATTTTTAAATTTTAAAGACTCAACGGATATTTACGTTCATGTATTAATAAGTTGTTCATATGTTTTAAAAGTTCAATTCAAAAAATTAAATTATTTATCCAATTTTATTCAGAAACTAAATAAATATATTCAATTAATATGTTTAAGGAATAGTAATAGACTCAAACTTACGAGAGACAATCGAGAACTTTTTCGATGGAAGTGTTTAATTTTTTAATTAATTTATAAATATTTTAAAATTTTAATTTTTTTAATTAATCACTGGTATCTGATCTATTGGTTTAAAATTAGTATTTTATATTTTTATTTAAAATTTAGTATTTTTATTTTTAATACTTTTTGGATTTTTTAAATAATTTAATACTTTTACTAATTTTAAATTTTTTTAAAAATTCGTAAGTCCTTAATTTTTTTTTTCAAAAATAATAAATAAGCTATTAAACTTTCAATTAAAATAAATTATGCCTTTCAACTCGACCAGAAAATCAATTATGCCCTCGAACTAAGTTAAAAAATAATTCAGTTTCTCTATAACATCATTATCATATTTGAATGGTTACATCAACATCATAGACTGCCACATTAACATAGTAGACCGTAGGAATGAAGCTATGTTGAGACCTAAAGGAGGGAAATTTATATATTCAATAAATTGTAGTCTAATAATATTTTGGTTCGTGTAAAAAATAAAAGAATTTATTAAATATTTAATTAAATCAGGGTTGAACTAAAGAAAGATAATTCAATGTTCTCAATTTTTTTTGGTTTACTAACAATTTAGATCATTGCATGTTTAAATATTAGACAAATTAAGCGCTGTCTTCTGAATTTTAAGTTTAAAACTTAATAACTCGTTGTATTTTCTTAAAAATTTTAATATTCTGATCCCTACCAGTATTTAATCATGGTTTCGTCTTTGATAGACTGTCATATCAACATCATAAATATTGTGTTCATATTATAACAATTAATATCAGTCATAGTAACAATGTTTATTTGGGTTTAATCCATGAGTAAAATTACCCTCAAGTTTTTTTTCCCTCTAATGGTGATATTTTTTTAATAAATTTGAGATAAGTACAAAACAAAATTTATTTTAAGATAATTTTTAACTGTTCGATATTGAATGATCACACTTTTAGTATTTATAATGTTCGAACCCATGATCTTAAAGAATAACAAAAATTCATTTACCACCGCGATGATGTAATCCGTATTTCTTTAATGATGATTGAAAATGTTATTATTATTATTTTGTTTTTCGTCGGAACTGCCGGAGACAATAATCACATATTAGTTCAACACAAGATATTTTATATGTTTAGGTGGTATATTTTTCTTCGTCAATGATTAGGTGAAGATATATCTACATCTCAAAGTAATTTTTAAATAATTACACTCCTTATCTATATGTAAAAAAATGTGAAAATTCGTAGTAAAAAAATAAGATGGATGTATTTTATTAACTGGGACCGCATATGACGTGGTGAGTTAGGTACATCTATTAATTTTTCTCTTCCCAGATTAATTTGTATGACCATTGAGGAACTTTTTACTTATTTCATTTGTTCCAATAGATTTTTTTCTATTTACTTGATTGTTTGGATTAGTTATAACTATATTGAATAAAAATTCCAAAATTTTGAGTTGATCCTTGGAATCGATATTTCCCTGTTCGTCTTCTGTCAATATCAATAAAGATGCACTAAAACCTCTAAGGAGCCAAATGGATCCTTATTATTTTGAAAAAAATGGTTAAATTTAATTAAACTGATTAAGAAAAGAATGAAAAAAATTGTGTATCCATTATTTTTAAGAAAATAATATTAAAATTTTAAATTCACATTCTTAAATTTCTGGATCCACCACTATTCTTTCGTGTGACTTCAATCTATTTCAAGCGTACTAACAACCCTCAAAATTTTCAAATAATTTTTTAAACCTTGCATATTTTTTCTCTTTTAACTTTTATAAATCTTCTAAAAGAAAATAACATTCTCTTTTACCATTAAATTTAATCAAAGAAATTTTATAATATATATATATATATATATATATTATAAAATAAGAAAATGATATCTATATTCAAAATTAGGGTAAACTACACCAGATACCATTGAATTTTAGACATTGTATAAAGTTTTGTCAATTATATCAATGAACTTTGATTTTTGTTTCAATTATACCACTAGGTTGTTAAATTGTTAACAACTAGATCAAAACGATGTCATTTTGGTGAGGTGTCTACGTAAACAACTGTCAGTCACGTCGACAGCCGTCAGCTATGTCATCGTGTTGTTAACGATTTAACGGTTCAATGATATAATTGAAACAAAAAATCAAAGTTCAGTGCTATAGTTGAAAATTTGAAAATTTAATGATATAAAAAGTATAATACTTAAAGTTCAATTGTATGTGATTTGGTTTACTATGATTATATGGTATATGAACAAATATTTGAAACAAAATTGAAGACTTCTATAAATCAATGAAATGAATATTTTATGTAATTACAATAAAATATTAGCTGAGAATCCCTTAGGGAAAAAATCATAACCGCATATAACTTGCAAGACAGAGGTGTTCAAACTAATAAATCATATTCCATTTTTTTATAATATATAAATAAAGACAGTTCATGGCATCACCGCCACCCCTTTAAAAAATTCAATTTATTTCTCCATCAAGAGGGGTAGCTTTGGGATTGTCTCAGGAAAGGTGAGTTAATATACGGTTAATATATGACGTTACCGGATACATTAAAAGATATTTAATAAATTAGGTTTAGCGCTACCGGAAATGTTGAGTAATAATAATGTAGTAGATCTAAATCATGAAGAAATATTAAAAAATTTGGCAACCGACAAACTTAGCTTGTCGGTTTGTGTCGATCCAAATAAAAAATGTATCGATCCATATCAATATAATAGGTAAAAATATGACAACACCGGTTTAATTATGACAAAACCGGTAAAGCACTACCAGATATGTTGAAAGTATCGATTAGATTGAAATAAGTATCGACACTTTGGGAATTTAAAAGAGAACCAGTAATAGCGCTTATAAAGTGTCGATACTTTATAAAAATGTATCGATCCATAACGATATAACATGTAAAAATATGACAAAACCGGTGTCGAAATGATAAAACTGGTAAAGAGCTACCAGATATATTGAAAGTGTTGATACTTTAATATAAGTATCGACACTTTGGTAATTTAAAAGAGAAACAGTTTTAGCGCCTATAAAGTGTCGATACTTTATAACAATGTATCGATCCATAACGATATAACAGGTAAAAATATGACAAAACCGGTCTCTAAAGGAAAAAACCGGTATAGAGCGACCAAATATATTGAAAGTGTCGATACTTTAATATAAGTATCAACACTTTGTGAATTTAAAAGAGAAGCATTTTTAGCACCTATAAATCGACGATACTTTATAACAATGTATCGATCCACAACGATATAACAAGTAAAAATATGACAAAACCGATCTCTAAAGGACAAAACTGATATAGAGCGACCGTATATATTGAAAGTGTCGATACTTTAATAAGTACGCATAATAAATTATCGATATTTTCAAAGAAATAGGTAATTATACTATCGAAAGTATCGACACCTGACATAAAAGTATCGACACTTTTGTAGTTGTATCGATTAAATATAAATAACATATCCGGTGAAAATATAAAGGGCATAGTTAAATATCCTCTGAAAAATAGATAGAACGGACGAG